TCCGCGACATCGTCCGCCATTTGCAAAGAGATGTGGTTGGCGGGCGCGATCTGCGGCTCGGAAACCTCGCTTTGAGAAGGACCATCGTCAACCACTGTCGATTTCCTACGCTTGGTATTGAACCGACTGGAAGCTTGCCACTGCTCGGTTATTCGACGTCTGCGAGTATCGTTATTATTTCTTATTAATGAATTATTTATTGGCTTTGTTTATGTTTGGAGGGGATGGTGTCGCGGGTGCGGGTAGGGAGGCGTTGGAAGGGAAGGAGTTTATTTATCATTTATTATTTCTAATTTTTATTGGGGGATGGGGTTAGGGGGTAGGGGCGGGAGGGGAAGGGGACTTAAAGTACATATTGTGCTGTGATGGTAATTTTATTATTCGAGATAGCAGATGGCGATGGCAGTGATTAAAAGGGAATATTTGAAAGATGATAAAAACGATGGTGATGAGGAGAAGGAGCGGGATGCCGAAAACAATAAAAGTTGAAATGACAAATTATGATGATGATAGTAATAACAACAACAATAGTAGTAGTAGTAGAAGTAGTAACAAAAAACAATGATAAGAGAAAGATTATCAGGCTTGAGGACTATGATGTAAAGTCTTTGCCTGTCAGTCTGTCTCCCTGCGTGTCTGTCTGTCTGTATGCCTCTCTCTCTCTCTCTCTCTCTCTCCTTCTCTTCTCCTCTCCTCTCTCTCTCTCTCCTCTCTCTCTCTCTCTCTCTCTTCTCTCTCTCTCCTCTCTCTCTCCCTCTTCCTCTCTCTCTCCCTCTTCCTCTCTCTCCCTCTCTCCTCTCTCCTCTCTCTTCCTCTCTCTCTCCCTCTTCCTCTCTCTCTCCCTCTTCCTCTCTCTCTCTCTTCTCTCTCTCTTCCCTCTTCCTCTCTCTCCCTCTTCCTCTCTCTCTCCCTCTTCCTCTCTCTCTCCTCTTCCTCTCTCTCTCCCTCCCTCTCTTCTCTCTCTTCCTCCTCCTCTCCCTCTCTTTCTCTCTCCTTTCCCTCCTCTCCCTCTCTCTCTTCCCCCTCCCTCTCTCTCTCTCTCTTCTCTCCTCTCTCTCTTCTCCTCTCTCTTCTCTCTCTCTCTCTCTTCTCCTCTCCCTCTCTCTCTCTCTCTCCTCCCTTTCTCTCTCTCCCTCTCCCCCTCTCTCTCTCCCCCTCTCCCTCTCTCTCCTCTCCTTCTCCCTCTCTCTCCTCTTCTCTCTCTCCCTCTCTCTCTCTCCTCTCTTCTCTCCCCTCTCCCTCTCTCTCTCTCCCCCTCTCCTCTCTCTTCCCCTCTCCCTCTCTCTCTCTCCCTCCCTCTCTCCCTCCCTCTATCTCTCCTCTCTTCTATCTCTCCCTCCCTCTCTTTCTCTCTCTCCCCTCTCTCTCCCCTCTCTCTCTATCTCCTCCCCTCTCTCTATCTCTTCCCTCTCTTCTCATCTCTCTCCCTCTCTCTCTTCTCTCCCTCTCTCTCTATCTCCCTCTCTCTTCTCTATCTCTCTCCCTCTCTCTCTATCTCTCTCCCTCTCTGCTTCTCTCCCTCTCTCTCTCTATCTCTCCCCCTCTCTCTATATATATATATCTTTCCCTCTCTATCTCTCTCGCTCTCTATATATATTACTTCCCTCTCTCTCTCTCTCTCTATTTCTCCTCTCTCTCCTCTCTCTATCTCTCACTCTATCTCCTCTCTCTCTCCCTCCTCTCTCTCCTATCCTCTCCCTTCTCTCTCTCTTACCTCTCCCCCTCTCTCTATCTCTCTCCATCTTTCTCTCGATCTCTCTCCCTCTCTCTATCTCTCTCCCTCTCTATATATATATCTTTCTCCCTCTATCTCTCTATCTATGTCCCCTCTCTCTCTTATCTCCTCTCTTCCGTCTCTCTCTATCTCTCTCCCTTTTTTTAACATCTTTATTTATAGTCATCATACAAATATGTATAGGTTGAAACCAGTTTATTCCTTTTTGCGGGTTAAAAGTTACCTATCTAAGGGAGCTTATTTGAAAACCCAACCTATTTTTGTAAATGATAACAAACTAAACAAATAAAAATGGAAAGTACAAGATTATTGTAGTGCCTTAAATGTTGCCACGAGTGTACAGGAGATAAAGTGACGTTTCCTCGAAGCATTGATGTTGCCGCTGTGTTCACTAGATTGCGTGGGTCCTTTCGGCGACCTCGGTGGTGGTGAATTCGTTCCACAGTCGCGCCTCTGGCTGAGAAGATCCGCTGATGCTGGCCAGACCGCGACCTCGGAACGTCCCACCAGAAGCCGATTGGAGTGTTACCGTCCTCGTACTTCTTCTCTCGGCCGTGCGGGGAGTCTGAGGCTGGATAGATGAGGCACCTGCTGCACCTAGCCTTGTGGAGCACCGTTAGAGCCCCGACGTCCGCGACATGTTCCAGNATAGGGAGAGATGTTAGGGAGCGAGTAAGGATGAGAGAGTGAGGGTTAGATGTAGATGAGAGTGAGAGTAGTTTATTTTTTTTTGTTAGTGTACTTGATTTTGAGAGAGAGGAGTAG